GGAGTGCGCCGAACATTTGTGGCTGAAAGGAAAAGTCGCTGGGGAATCAGCAGTCCTTGGAGTTGTTTACTTATGGACAGGGACAGGTGCTAAAGAGGAGAACAGAAAAATGATTGATTGCATATCAAGAGACATTAGTGAACTAGGGGAAGGCTCCGAAACAATTATTATGGGAAACATGAATGCCCATATTGAGGGTCTGGATGGGTATACGGACTCAACTGGAAGCATATTACTAGAACTGGTGGAAAAACATGATTTAGTTTTATGTAATACCAGTCAGAAGTGTGACGGGCACATAACTTGGGAAACTGGCAATCTACATTCAACTATAGATTACGTACTCATGTCACACAAAATATATGTTAAGTTACAAGTAATGAAAATAGATCAAGAAGGTTCCAAAAGTCTTGGTAGTGATCACAAACGTATTAAGCTGAATTTTGCTAAAGTAAATGCTGAAACTAGACAACATGATTCAAAGCAAACTTTCTGCAGCGACAAAGAGTTGGAAATAGTTGTTGAAAGAATAGAGGCAGCAGTTTCAGGGCAACGGTATACAGATTGGACCTATGAGAGCCTAACTAGGCTTTTTGCTTTAGAACTAGAGAAAGTTCAGAGTAAACGAAAGGGGAAGCAAGGACATAGACCAAAAAGCTGGTAGGACAAAGAAGTGAAGCAAGCGATACAAAAACGTCAGGAAGCCCCTAGAGAACACAGGTATTCCAAGCGTAGTGGGGAGTCCGAAACGGAAGTAAAAAGAAAATGGGACAATTTTATAACATGTCGCCGAGAGAAATCCAGTTTGATCAATGCGAAAATTCAGAGAAAGGGTGAGGAATGGATGAGTGATGTAAGTAAGAAAGATAGAAACGCTGCTAAGGAGTTTTGGGAGCACTTGAACTCACTCGGTGAAACGACGCAAGCTAGACAGAGGTTCCTACTCTCGCATCAGGGATATCAATTAGAGGGAGATGATGCGATACAATATATAGGAGCAGTGATGGAGGAGAAATTTCGGGAACCGGTACATGTGGAAGATAGGAGTACCGAAGGAAGTAGCAGTCCAGTTTGGGACATCGCGGATTTTGGACAAAGAGAATGGGAAAAGGCGGAACGAAGAGTCCCTAGTGGCACGTCGACAGGCACAGATGGTACCCCAATCAAGCTGGTGAAGAATTTGGGTCCTAAATCTAAGGCAAAACTAAGGGAGGTAGTGAGTACCATGATAACAAAAGGAAATATTCCAGATGAATGGGGGCTTAGTAGGATGAGTATGATATATAAGGGAAAGGGAGATAAGTCTGATATTAGGAATTATCGTCCCATAACCGTGACACCGGTTATTTACAGGTTGGTAATGCAGATTATAGAGAACAGACTGGAGGAATGGGTAGATTGCGAGGGCATACTGGGCGAGTTACAGAACGGGTATCGGAAACAAAGAAGGTTGGAGGACAATTTATTTTCTCGAACACAGTGTATAGAAATAGCGCAAAAAGAAAACAGACAGCTCTGGCTGGCATTTCTGGATATCAAGGGTGCCTATGACAATGTGAACCAAAGGAACCTGTGGGACATAATGGAGAGCTTAAACCTAGATGAAGGACTAACAGCACTATTAAGGAACCTTTACAAATATAACAAGGTGATTATAACATGGGAAGGAAAGGCGACAGGGAAAATAGAGATAAGACGAGGCCTTAGGCAGGGGTGCCCGTTATCGCCTTTGCTGTTTATGTTGTATCTGAGAGGATTGGAGGATAGACTAGAGAAGAGTGGGCTTGGATTCGACCTTTCTTACAATAAACTAGGCCAAAAAATTCAGCAATCCTTACCGGGATTTATGCATGCGGATGATATCGTACTAATGGCTAACAACAGGACGGAGTTGCAGGAATTAATGAGCATCTGTGGTAGGTAAGGAGAGGACTTAGGTTTAGAATTCAGTAGCGAAAAATCAGCAGTCATGATTTTTAACGAGGATGAAGTCGAGAGGCTGAAGATACAGAATATTACAGTTGAGAGAGCTAGTAAATACAAGTATCTAGGAGTATGTATATGTGATGGTGCAGAATATATCAGAGAGCATGAAAAGTATATAATAGGTAAGTGCAACAGAAATGCAGCTGTAATGAAAAATAGAGCACTTTGGAATTACAACAGGTATGAGGTTGTGAGAGAGATTTGGAAAGGGGTCATGGTGCCTGGCTTGACTTTTGGAAACACAGTGCTATGCATGAAATCCGAAGTGCATGCGAGACTAGAAATAAAACAGCGCGGAGTAGGTAGACTATCTTTGGGGGCATATTGCAAAACGCCAAACCAGGGAGTACAAGGAGACATGGGATGGGCGTCATTTGAGAGCAGGGAAGCGGTGAGCAAGATAGAATTTGAGGATAGGTTGAGGCAAATGGACGGGGAGCAATGGGCACGAAAGGTTTTCAGCTATTTATACATGAGGAGTGTAGACACAAAGTGGAGACAGCGCACTAGGAAATTAAGAGGAAAGTTTTTGGGCTATTGCGAAGATACGGAAGAGCAAGTCTCAGTTAAGAAGAAAGTTAAGGCCACAGAAAGAGATCGGTGGCTAGAAAGAATGCAGACAAAGACGGCTCTGGAAAGCTATAGATTAAACAAAACAGTTATTGCCAAAGAAAGCATTTATGACAATTCTAGGGGAAGCTCATTGCTGTTTGAGGCGAGGACGGGTGTTCTGCGAACCAGAACATACAGAGTGAAGTACCAGGAAATGGATACAGTGTGCACTGATTTTGGAGAGGAGGACGAGACGGCTGAGCACTTGATACTCCATTGTAAAGGGCTTCACCCTATGCCTACCGAAGACAACATAGATTTAATAAAGTCATTGGGTTTTAGAGACAGCGAAGGGAGAGTGGATTTCAAGACTGTAGATATTACCAAGCAAAGATTAAGTGTATGGTGGCAGAATTCGAGAGAAAACTAGGTATTTTCTTATTCACTGATGGCAAGGAGGTTTCATAGCCTCACTTTCTTTGCACTGCGGAGTGAATATAGATTTCACATTTAAATAATATAAGCTTAAATGGTAAAACAAAATGGCTATTTGGCGTAAGCTATCGCCCGATCCAAAGGGCTCAGCCGTGTTCATCCATCCATCCATCTATCCATGCGCCGCCATCTTGCTCAGTTGGGGTGGGCGTGAATGCTGCCATAATCCGATTACGACACCTTAGCAAGGCTTCGTAATAGGATTATGACGCGCACAAGCGCACCCCACCCAAGCAAGATGGCTGCGCCCTGTTCTGTCTCAACATGTCTGTACACGGAACGCGAAAAAATGAGTGATGTGACGGCACTTATCATCCCTTGAAAACTGCAAGTTCCATGAAAAACTACGGTGGAAGCTCGAAGTCATCGGATCTAGTGCTCAACCACGTCACGACCATGCGATTTTTCATTCTGCTTTTGCGTTGAGGATTAAAGTCAAGGAGGAAAAAGTAGAAAGCTATTTTAATGTTCCCTTTAACTGAAAAAAAAGAATAACTTTTATTATTGAATTATAGTCTCAGTTTGGATAACACAACCTCTAAAGGAACGAGGTCGCGTGTTTTTTTATTTAAACATACTGCAGTTCAAGGGGACCGGAGGGGAAAACACATTTGGGCTCACATCCTGTTGAATGCACGCACAGGAATCAAACCTTCGGCATCCAAACAAAGTTTAATGTGTTCAGACGTGCTGAGCAGCGCGACATACATCAACGTTACCAGACAATAGTGCCATAAAAAAAATGAAAGACGTTTACAATTTTTTGTAATGCCGAATTAGAGTGCAGCTCTTGAGGAGGAGGAGGGTGACGTATGCCCTCCTCCCCCTCCGTACCCTCCCCACCTACTCTCCTGCTTCCCTCCAATTTAGCAGGAAAGTTTTGCTAAATTTCCAGCTAAATTAAGCAAAAATCTCCCCCTTAAATTTAGCGGAGACGTTTTCGCTTAATTTAGCGGGAAATTTACCAACATTTGCCCGCTAAAATTAGAGGGAAATTTAGCGAAAATTTTCTCGCTAACTTTAGCGGAGAAACTGAATTGGTGTTCAAGTCACGTGACGTCAATTTCCCCGCTAAATTTAGCGTGACGTCACGTGTGACATCTCGGGACTAAAATTTTGCAGCTAAATTTTGCGAAAAATGTTTTGTTAAATTTCTCGGTTCAATTTAGCGGAAAACGTTCCCTGCTAAATTTAGCGAGAAATTTCCCCGCCATAATTCGCAATACATTTTCCCGCCAAATTTAGCGGGGAAGATTACCCTCGTGACGTCACACGTAACGTCACGTGTATACGTCCTTATGGGAAACGTCCCATAATCCACTGCGCGGTTACGTCGACGCCGCTCAACTCGAAAAAAGCGCGCCTAAAAACTGCGCTCTAAAAAAAAAAAAAATGGCGCATTCTGTTTGCGCTATGGAGGTAGGAAGCCTCTGGAGGCGACCTGACGTCACCAGCAGGGAAGCCAGAAGTGTGGAGGGATACGCCTCCAACGATGACCAAAACCAAGAGACGCCATTGGACGAAAAGGAGCCAGCTCTCCTTTTCGTCCAATGGCGTCTCTTGGTTCTGGTCATCGTTGGCGGCGTATCCCTCCACACTACTGGCTTCAGTCCTGGTGACGTCATGTTGCCTCCAGATGCTTCTTACCTCCATGGCTTGGGCCAACTGTTGTCGAGTCCCGACCGTCATATTCTTGCCCCGCCGGAGTCAATGAAATATCCGCATGAGCCAATGACAACGTGCGAAAATTCGAAGACCATTTCGTTCAATCTGCTAAGCTAAAATGGCTGAAAATTTCGCGCTGCTCTGTACTGAAGCAGAGCGGACAGGTTGTATAGCCCAAATGACGAGCTCCACTTTCTTCGTTCACAACTGCCAGGCTACGAGGTAAAGCATTTTCATAGTGCGGGGCTAATTGACGAAGCATAGAAAATGAAAGAGCAAGAATGTCAGGGGTGAACACGAACCCACAATGGCTGAGGTGGCGGAAGCCTGGGGAGTGACAGGGATGGCAGCGCAACAGGCAGACCTCGAGGTTGCTTGTCTCATTGGGACTGTTATCAGCATACATCGCGATATATTATCAGGCGTAGCCCCTACTTGAGAGATGAGTAAAACAAAACCTGATAAACCCTGGAGCGCGGATAGTTTGGCGAGATAGTGCTGCGAATCGAGAAAGATATTGGCGAAAGGCACAAATCAAGTAAAACGACTGGACAGAAAGTGTCCTCTCAAAGAGCTACCATGGATGTAATACATGCCAGGCGCTGAAGGGACACTTACAGCGTATTTATGTTAGCCAAGGTTTTTATTTGTACATGACAAATGAAAGCCCAGCATGCCTAGAACACTATTAGCGGCTCGAAATTCGTTCTTTCCGCCCAAAAACCGCCGATCGAGAACTGGCCGGTCTTGGTCGCGCCGACCCTGTTCTCCGTCGTCACGTACCGTTTTATAGACACAAACCAAAAATAATCAAAGTCGTGGGTCATCGAAGGAATACACTCAGTATTAAAAATAGAAAAAAATATGATACCCATTTTTGTAGCTTCTAAAAAACTGCAAATACATTGATTTAAAAAAAAAAGTGGCACAGAGAATAGGCTCGTAGCTCTCAAGTTTTGAGCAGCGCTCCAGGTGAGCAAAATATAATACTTGGCTCGCGTATCGAACATGCATCAACACACTTCCTCACTAGAGTTTTTTCTACTCCGTTCCATTCTAAGTGCCACCGTAGCAGAGGCTAAAGGATCGACCTGGAGCTTTCAAAGTCCCTGCCAGGCACGCGCGCTCGTGCAGTGCGAGCATCGTTCAAGAGGAAACACTTTTGCGAGTAGCTTCGGCTTCGCTGTCACGTAAAGTGAGATATACGTGCTCGAGGAAGCTATGAAAGAAAGCGAAGATGAAAGGAATGTTTAATGGAACGCTGCGGCCGCGAGCTGCAGAATTCTGGTCTTTTTTATTTTTTGTTTACTTTCTTTAGGTGTTTTACTACCTCGCATCTACAGATGCTGACAGCTGCTTGTATTTGAACGAGGCACGTGCAAAATCGAAGGCTACAGCGCCACACGGATGATGCAGCCAGCATAACCAGGTCGCGTCTTGCATAAGTCTTCCGGACGCGCTCGCGCCCCCTGCCCCTGCACCCTGGGAATTCTCTGCGTAATTCTCAACATGGCGTCGTATCGCCGGAGTCGTCGGCAGGACGGTTGAACGAAGCCGACTATGCGATGGTGGCGGACGACGGGCGTGGGACCCCTGCTTCGGAACTGTCGTTCGCGGTATACCGGAAATTCTGTCTAGCTTCGAAAGAAAAATCCTTTACCGATCAAAACATTTAGGGTGTATTCCGTACGACACGCCCGACCAACAAGCTGATTCGCACGAAGACGTCGCAGTATCGCGGCGGTCGTCTTCTGGCTGAAGACATCGCTCGTCTTACGAACACGAATAGGTAAGAGCTTGAAAAACGCGCAAACTTCAAGCATGAAGTGGTTGACTTGCGCCTTTTGTCCGACGTGAGAGGTTTTTGTCTGCTTCGCACAACCGCGAATTGTCGCTGATTAACAACCAAAAGCGAGTACTTTGTCGCCCCAGTCAAAATCGGGAAAAAGCACATGTACCTTCAAACTGTAAAAAAAGAAAAAAGAAAAAAAAAGAAGTTAAAAGGAAAACACAGGGAACACAGGAGTGTCCGGGAGTGTCCACAAAACCGCTTCTGAATCCCCTTCCCCCGCCCTCTTCTGCACATGTTCAAACCATCCTTGACGCATTGGGGTCAAGATGGTCAAGATTCCAGAATCAGAATCCTCTATTTCATAAATGACTCCACCCGGCGGAAAACTGGGCCGCTTGCTCGAAAGAGTTGAGACATTACTTGAGACAGTCTCAGCCGAGACCGAACGTGAGCCACTTGCTCGAAACGAAACTAAGTCTGGACTTGATACTGAAACCGAGTCTCTGACTCAACTTCCTGGGCACAGCTACTGTTCCAGACGTCTGGAAGCGGGTCCTGGTGACGCCTTTCCACAAAGGGAAAGGCAAGCCTGTGAATGACGTCTCATCGTATCGGCCAGTCTCAGTCACTTCGATCCTGTGCAGAACTTTTGAGCGGATGCTAAATCGTACCCTTCTAGATTACCTGTCCGTCAGCAACACACTCTCCTTGTCGCAGCATGGATTTAGGCCAGGAAGAAGTTGCGAAACTGCCCTGGCAACCATGACGCACTACATAAGCGATGCGCTGGACGACCACACTTCCACGGACCTCATCCAACTAGACTATAGCAATATGTTTGACACGCTGGACCATCACCTCCTTCTCCAGAAGCTCGCAGGGGTTGGTGTACACGGCTCCCTGCTACGTTGGATAGCTCGCTTCCTTATTGGTCGCTCTCACAATGTGGTGTTCCACGGATCTTCGTCTGAGGACTTCACCATTTCCTCGGGTGTGCCACAAGGCTCTGTGCTGGGACCCACTCTTTTCTCAGTGTATGTTAATGACATGCCGAAGACAGAGAACACCGTGCTTATCCAATACGCCGACGACACAACCATTTTGTCCCGTTTGAACCACCATTCTTCTGGCTCCCGCCTTCAAGCCCACATCTCCCTGATTGCAGACTGGTCTGCTGCCAACCTTCTACGACTAAGCCTCACCAAAAGTGCTGCTATGCGCTTCAGTAAGAAGAAGAGTGTGGACCCCCCTTGCTATTCTTTTTCTGGCACTCCTGTGTCCGTCGCCACACACCTTCAGATTCTGGGGGTGACCCTTGCACCTACTTTGGATTATACCTTACATATTTCCAACATCGTGGCCAAGGCACGTCGAACCCTCGGGTTCGTTACAAGGGTGTCACGCTCCTGCGGTCCGGAGGACTTTCGCATCCTCTGCACCGCTCTGGTGCTCCCGTGCTTAGAATACTGCGCTTCCATCTGGAGCCTTCACCAAGCCCACCTCTCTCAGCGTCTGGAGGGGGTCCAGCGTCGTGCAACACGAACTCTCCTGTCGCGGACGGACCGGACGCTGGTCACCCCCCAGACCTATGAGGATCGACTGAGGCGCCTCAGCTGGCAGACATTAGACCATCGACGGGTCGTTGCGCGTGTGATATTGTTGTGCCGCCTCCTGGACGGTTCACTGGAGAACACATATCTCAACTCGGTCCTCCGAATTAGTAAGCGGTCCGGACAACCCGAGCAGCTACGGGCTCGCACAGTTCGCCATAGCCGCATGTTTCTTCCAGCTGCGATCGAGACCTTCCTCGCAGCGCCCCTGGATGTGCGCTTCCCCATCCCAGAAGACCGGGCGGGATCCGCGCTTCTGTGCCGGGCCTTTTCGCGAGCGCGGAATTGATTGTGTGGGGGAGTTGCGTTCGGGCCGGGATTGCGGGGTGCGCGTGGCCCTCGACTGTTGCCGTGATGGGGGGTCCTGTCGCGGGGGGTTGATTGGGATCGGGACCTGGCTCGCCCTCCCAAAGTATTGGGCCTTTCTCGGTCTCTCCCTCCAGGCAGGGCCCCCCGTCGCGGCGGTGGGCGTCGCGCGCGCTTCGCGATTTCGGTTTGGACGCCCTCTGAGGAGACTCGGGTCGTGCTAGGCCTTGTAAACGCGACCGATTGCGTAGCCCCTCTCCCCCCCCCCCCCCCCCCTTTTTATTTTATTGTTATTATTATTTTTCTTTTTTTGCTTCGTTTTGTTATGTTCAACTTTGTTTTCGTTTCCTGGGGGTTGGGCCAACAGACGCACCAGCGTACGGGCTTCCGCCTTTCTGTTTCGCCTCGCACGCTTCCAGGAAAACACCTGTTTGTGCAAATAAAGATTATTATTATTATTATTATTATTGTGTCTCAAGCCGTGATACAGCCCGGTAGCAAATTAGCTGACGGCCGATTTAAGACCCAAACTGAGGCCCAAACGGAGACCCAAACTGAGACAGTCTCAGAGGTTAGCCACTTGCTGGAAACGAAACTTAGTCTGGACTTGAGACCAAAACCTAGTCTCTGACTCAATTCTAGTTTTAGATCGTGAGACAGCCACGGGGAAGGCTCCCTGGCGGTCTCAGAGTAAACAAAATGTCGGACGTGGCCGCAAGACACCGACTCCAAACAATCTTTGCCGCATGAATGCACTCCACGGCACCGTCGGACCGGTCGGACCAGGGTGTAAGATAGACAGGTGGGGAAACGGCCCATAGAAGCCTACCGCAGCGCCGTGACCGGATTGTGTACTCGTCTGCTTGCGGGTACCCCCGATTTGCGACAGATGGCGATGCGGCGAGGGGAAAAAAATCGGAATCGGATTTGCGGGGAACTCTATGGGAGAGTGCGCGAAATAAACCGATAGCACGACAGTCCTCCATTGAAAATCCACGAGAAACCATCTCCGTCAGTTTAGCCGGTCGCCACCGGTCGCCCACCCGCAGTGAGAGTTCGCGATGCTTCACATAGATGGCGCCACAGAAAAAGAGAAAACCGAGGGGGACACAATCCGGTCGCTCATTTGGCTCTTTTTCCCCCACCTGTCTATCTTACACCCTGGGTCGGACCGTGTTTTCCAGGACCGATTTTGCCCCTTCGACGTGACGAGGTTTCGGTTTCGCCGCGATGGCAACATGTGCATCACCGGAGTCTTGGAGGTAAGAAAACAGTCTTATTTCTAACGTTCCTCTTCAACTATATGTTACATTTATTAAGCGGCCAGCTGCGAAGTAATTTTGGAGCAATCGAGACATTTGTTTTCGTCAGTTCTGTTTTCGTCATTTCGTCAGTTCAGCTCTTCTGATCAACATGCAGCGCCGTCATTGCGTCCTCAAAACGTTGTGTAGTGGTCCTTCCCCAAGCTCTCTCTATTTTTTATTGTCTTTGCTGTGGCGGTGTGGCACGGTCTTTCGTATCCAGGGGGGTAAAGGTGGGTGAGGAGGAGTGGCAAATCCCGCGCGCCGACATCCTGAATCCCGAGTGAAAGATCGCGAAAGAGAGCGACAGAACACGAGATAAAGAAACCAATGTTGCCAGCTGAAGAACGACAGTCGTAATGG